CTGGATGGGTCTTCGTTAATCAGCCCATCTCACAGGTCAGTCAGCAGTGTTCAGCAGGCTCTCTGTCAGCTAGCAATACGCACACACACACACACACACACACACACACACACACACACACACACACACACACACACACACACACACACACACACACACACACACACACACACACACACACACACACAGTGTCCGTCCCCCCCTTATGTGCCCAATCCCCCCACATGGATCACACCTGGCGCACGCAATACATGTTCAGTGTCTATTCTTTGTATATGTACTGCAGTTTTTCATGTATACCAGTAGTCTGATACAATATGTACAGTTTGAAAGGGTGTTAAATGAAACTTAGTGATGATTAATGGTTTTTGTGTTAAAACAGGACCGGTCAAATTTGACCGCGAACACCAAAGTAAGGGGGGGAAAACGAAGACAATAGGAGGGTTAAACATAGTTGTTTGAGGATGTCCCAATTCCCAAACTTTGTAATAGCAATATGTTTAAAGCCTCAAATCACAGTTTCACTCTATTTAAGAGCTTTCAAAGACCTTGAATTAAACTGAGTTTATTTTAGGACTTAGAGGCAAAAGATCTTTATATTCTGTCAAGGCTCTGAGAAGACTTCACTCACTGTTGTGACGAAGCGGTAGAAGGGCTGTCTCCTCTCCGTGTACTTCACTGTGATCGGACTGAGGTCGTATCGGAACCAGATGGCTGGGATGATCCTGCCCGTGTGGCTGTACGCAACGTATTCCTGGACGGGATGACAAAAAGGAAAATGTTACAAAACATTTAATGAGTGTTGGAGCTGCGCCTGGGGAGAGAAACACATTCATTTAACACAGACGGGTAAATCCCATTATGTTTAGAAATCCATTAAGCGCAATCTTTTATTTCATCCTTATCTCCAGTGGTGGCGGGTTTATGAGTCGTTACAGAATTGGTTTCAGATAAAGTCATAAATGCTTCCTTGTAAATGAATCTTGGATGAATCAAAGTAATGAAGTCAGCAAGAGGAGGCTACAGTCAATTGATGTTGTAAAAATCACAGCAAAAACACAACCAAATTCACCCAAAGGAACATTTACAGCATTGAAATGTCCCTCAGCTGGACCTGTATTGACATGTTGACGATGAGATTCAGGAATATTCTGCTCACTGCCTCGTTTCACAGCTGATCTGCACTGTGATTACTCCAAACCCAGCTGTCAGTCAGTTCTAGGAAGTGTGTTTATGGTTTGTTGACATCTGGGGAGCGTTTCCAGTCACTAGGGGCACGCTTTCACTTCTGTGCACAAATTAACACAGAGATATATGCTCCGGCCATATGCTGGGATGGTCAAGCTGCTGCCTTGACACTTGCAAAAACAATGCATGACACGGAGGGAAAGGGAAAGATGGAGAATAGGAGAGAGACGGCACCTTGTTGGCTACTGTGTACTGGTAGGAGAACCTATGTTTGCCTGTCAGGTCTTCATACACCGTTGGAACGATCTTCAGTATGTAGTCGTGTGACGCCAGAGCTGCAGGAGAGAAGCAGAGTCATTTCAGTAAAACGTTTCCAAAAATGGATGTAGTGTTGATCATGACGCAACTAGCTGGGAGCTTTTTTATTTGAGATGGAGCGTCAGCTGTGGTTCCACTTAGGATTTGATACGGTGTCTCATTTCATTGCATCACCCTTGCATAAAAGTCACACATTGGATTAGATGGCTATGCAGATACGTACGATTGGATGACAGCCGATTAGCCCCCCCCAATGCATTAAAGGCTCCTTGGACTTTTTTGACCTGTGTGACAAAAGGAATCTGTGTTTAGCTTTGGTACAGTAGATGGTATCTGTTTCCTGTGGTGTGTGTCCTGACCTGGAGCTTTTCTCCAAACACCAGCTTGTGGATGTTGTGGGTCATGTCTGGGCTCTGGGGCTGGGCTGTGGCGCTGTGTGTCGACACATGGAAGTTTCCTGGCACCTGCAGACACACACGTACACACACAGGCAGCTAGGTTTAGCTTAATGAGAGCACCTGCAACACATTTGGTTAACTAATGACCAAGTCTGAACACACACAGTTGTTCGGAAACTAAATGGCCTTTACCTCCGGAAGGAAAAAGTATTTCCGAATATATTCAGCGAGCAGGAGTGATCAATGTACAACAGCAGGGTTAATCATCTTAAATAGCCACGAAAGACTGACGCACAAAGATGGCGGTGGAGGCAAACGGGGCTTCACAGGGCCCAGACTGCAGAAGTAACTCAAGCTGATCCTAGGGCTCTTCCATTTAGCATAACTCCATTTCAGACTGGAGGAGGAAGACTATGTTTAACTCATGTGCAAGACAAATGAATAACCAGATACTTCAAGAGCCACCAACTTACTGGGGCTCTTATCCAATCCATCAACATGTAATAAATGGGCACAGAAAAAAAGCTGACTTGATTTTCTCTTAAGTCTGAGTGTGTTTTTCTTCCTCTCCACTGTGTGATGAGGAGGTCTTACTTTGTTGATGGTGAACTCTCCTTCAAAGCGACAACCGTCCCCCCGGTTGAGAGGAATCTTCATGGAGTTGTCTATGTGACCGACCTCGTGGCGGCCCATCTCATCCTGGATGTCCAAACCCACCACTGAAGACACATGGGAGATCATTAAAAAATAAATAATAAACTCAAAAGAAAATTTAAATAATATAATACAGTTTCCTCTGCTAGTTCAAACTTTGACTGTTTTCACTGATAAGAAAATGAGTCTAAAATTAATCAATTACAAAAATAACTTATTAATTTAAGATTGATTTAAGAAAGTGTACATGTTTTGTTTTATAATTTCCACGAGTGGAATAAACTAATAGATATAAAATATAAATATAATATTAGGCAGAAATCCAAATCCAGGTAAAAAATAGTTCAGTACAAATACATTATTTTCACTCTGATTAGACAACATTTAACTTCTATACCAAACATCCGCAGCTGTTTTGTATTTGAATCCTGATCTTTATATAAAAATGTAAATTGAAACATAAAATAAAAATAATTATATACACTTAAATTATGAGCTTACACGAGATCTCACACACAAAAAAAAATCACTTTTTAAAAAAAAATTTAAATGTTGCTTTTCTAGAAATTAACTTAATTAAATACATAACTTCACAGATCTTTTTATGACTCTTTATGAACTAAAGGATGAATAGGTTATCAAATAAATGATACACAATGAGAATTATCAGTAGCTTTTCTTTTACAGCATCACAACCAAACAAACACAGTTTTTATTTGCCAGAGGAATAATAAGAGAAAGTCTGCAGAGGGTGACCCACAAAGTAAACACACAGAGTCCAAACAGACCACCTATCCTGCCTGTCTGTGTTTTTCCATCCAGCCCCCCCCCCCCTCATGCAGGCCGGCGTGTGTTCGCACCCTGGCAGTGGCCTATTTTCAGATCCGGCCTGTGCTGTGAGTTGGCCATCAGGGCAGGGGACGGGGAGGGGGGGACGGGACGGGACGTGTGCAGGACCTGTACTAAAAGCTCCACATGCCGCCCGTCTGACCTTTGACATTCAAGGCATGTTCGACCCCCCCACTCCGTCTATCAAGGTCTCAAAATACAGCGCGCGGACATGAGATAAGTCTGCCCCTGTGAGCTGGTTATTTCTCCTTTTTAAGACATTTAGAACTGGAAGTGTGTTCATGTAAAGCGGATCGGGGGTGGCGGGGGAATTATTATAAGGTTATTACACGTGGTTCTGCTTTTCCATGAGGTCACAAATCGAGACCTGGCAACCCGTAAAGGTCAGTGGAGGGAGAAGTTTAAATGTCTAGATCCGGAACAGCACAGCAGAGTTGATAAATAGTAAAAAGGGATGGAAATGCCAGCTTTTCAATGATGAAAAGATTTCTTGCGCCAGGGAGATTTGTAATGGATGACAACCTGATGTACAATATTAACTCACAGGCTGAGTAACATTTTTACTCATTACATGCAGCTGCAGTGTGGTTAGAGCAACATGTTTAAGCTGTGATTTAAGAGGGCCCCACATTTCTGCAACCATAAGTTTAAATTGTGCAAATAAACAAAACCGCCATACATACAATCACAGGGAGCTTTAATTGGACACGGCATGAGAAGGCCTTTGTTTAGGCATGCCATGAGTGAGACTGTCTAAACACAGGGCCAACAGCTGTGTGTCAGCATGCCAAAACCTCCATCGCGGAAATCACACAAGCATTTATTAGCGTTGCCATTTTTGGATATCGCTTGAATCGAACAAATGTGTGTTTTTTTCTGTGCTGCCTGAGCCTCTGTAAAGTGTGTCATTGGGCATAGTTTCTGACGGGAGTCATGGGTAAAAAATAACCAGTGACTGCTCTCCATCCTGCCCACTTCTCTGACATCCGATGCAGCAGAGAAGCCAATGGAGGCCACTCAGATTGCGCCACTGTGGCAGAACCAGATCAAACAGGCCTGAAATCTGCTGTTATCTAACACACACATAAAAACAAACCATTATGAGTCTACTTCTTTGTCTAGGTCATCACTTATCTTTTGCCAATATGCCGTGTAAAAGGATAGGGCATGGTGAGTATGATAAGGTCTGATAAAAGGGAAAAACAGAACTATAAAGAGAGCGCATAAACAATGTGAAAGGAAAAACACACAAACAGAAAGTGTGATGCAGAGAAGAGGTGTGTAAAGTAGTGTATATGTATATATTACGTAAATACTCACAATCACAGTGTAAGTTTGGCAAACTGACGTTTAAACTCACTTCTATCTTCCCACCACTCTCTTTATCAGGATCATCCACATACAGTTCATTTACACTGTAAGGCACAGAGAAGGAAAACAAATGGTTAGATGAGCTCAAACTGAACATCTAATGAGAAAGAACAATAATTTGAGTAAAAATAAACTGCTTTTTCCTCCTACAATACACACTACTTTAACATTGGAGGATACATCTTCTGCCAAATTAGTGTCATTTCCTCCCTGCTTACACCCCACCTACCGGAGTCAACCCTTATTACACATTTCTAAGAGGCTGACGCATACACAAAGCCAATTTCCTGAGAGAAGAAAACTGCCTCTGTTCATTGGTTACAACACATGCGTATCATCATAATGAGAGCATTGACATTCATGATTAAATCCCCGTCTTGTAAGTTTCAGACAGCACGTTCTGTGCCCGTGTGGCAACAAAGGAACTGTCCTCTCAATCAGTGTGTGTCAGCCACAGGATATTACAAGATACAGCCCTTATTCTGAGATGTGATGCTCGATACCTACATTTCTGTGGCTATGAATCCCGTCAGCTCAGACAGGAACAGGAAGAGAATGAAGAAACAGCAGAGGATGGAAACTGTGGGCAGAGAAGAAGAAAGTTAGAATGAATATTAAACTTAAGTCCCTGCTGATCCTCTGACGGCATTTATTTCCCATTCATCCCAAAATCACACTGGCGCTTCAAAGGATGATGCAGACCAAATGAGCCAGGCTGTTCCCGCCTTTAGGGATGGTTGACCTAAGTTATTGATATTAATGAAATCACAGCCGCCATAAAATACCCTAAATAGCCGTTACACTGACGGTGTAAAGCCTGCCATTACGCAGGTTTTGAAATAGTACTCGAGTCATTACACATTAAATATAAGCTAAACAAGCGGACATTACAGCATATCTGCTTTAAAGGGGTGAGCTAATGCTAGTCCTACAAACAGCTCCTTTTAGGTATCCTTAGACGAACTCACACACCGTTATTCACTCATACCGAACAACTCTGATAAAGAAGTTTTAAGGATTTAACTTGAAGCTAGACAGAAACCAAATTAGGAATATAGACCTTTACGTATATGTATTTTAGTTCAGTCTGAGCCTAAATAAAGCCTGAGCTTAAAAAAGAGAGGCCAGAGGGTCATGCAAAACGTCGTCATGTGTTTAGTAAGATAAATATGGAGGGAACTGATCTGTGCTGCGCAACATTGGCCTATCCGGTGTGGTGAGAGCCTGTCAGAAATCTCTCACTCAGCAGGTGTAGCGTGTTTATGTGGCAACTGTCTCCTAGGACCTCACAGTCACATGACCTTGTGGTTGGCAGGCCAAACCTGCGGCCTCTGAAGGCTTTACATAAGGTAACGTTTAACCAACAAACAATAGGGAGTGTCGCTATGACACATAGGTCACCAATTCAGGCTGATGAAAAGACTTGTACAGTAATTATTCCCAGGCTTCAAAGGGCGAAACACTGGCACGGGATTACTAAAGATCAGTGTAATAATGGTTTGGACTTCAAAAGCTCCGTAATGGAAATACTGACAAAGACTATTGAGTTGTTAATTTAAACTTGAGCTCATCCTTCCGATTGCTCACGCATGCGATGAAAGAAGATTATAAAGTAGCTTATTTGTATTTCTCAGACCTGTGACAGAAACAATCAAATACACCAACACCTAGTGGTGTAAAGTAACTAAGTAGATTTACTCAAGTACTGTACTTAAGTACAATTTTGAGGTGCTTGTATACTTTACTGGAATATGTTTTGCTACTTTGTATACTCCACTACAATTCAGAGGTAAACAGTGTACTCTTACTCCACTATATTTATTTAATACCTTTAGTTACTTTACAGAGTTTGATTATTGATGTGAAATATAATCAATATATAATCATCATCACACTTAAATCAGAGTTTAGTTCCACCTGGAGTAAATTAACAAGCTACCCTGCAGTATACAAAGTCATTAAAGCTAGCTGAATCTTTACCAGCTTTGATAACACTTTAAGGATCAATAATTATAATCAAAACATATCATATTTTATTATGAAACGGGCCAATCTGTAAAATTAGTACTTTTGGTACTAGTAAATGTTGATGCTAATACTTTATCTTGATTAACATTCTGAATGCAGGTCTTCTACTTGTAACACTCTGGTACTTCTACTTTTACTTAAGTACAAGATCTGAGTACTTCTCCCACCTTTGCGAACACCACAAATCGGTCTGGCATATACAACATGTGCATATCTGTAATCAGATGTGCCATATAACTCCCCAAGGCTCATTTCCCACCACACCGCACACAGAGCTGCAAATGTTTTATCAACACAGGCAGAACAAACCAATGATGACAGAAAATCCATCAAACAACAGACTGATACATTATGTTCAAAGCTACAACAGGTTCGGAAACCACTGTGGCCAAAACAGAGTTATCGTTCACAGTAAATACCGTAATAATTGAACTCAAAAGGAATGTGGCCCTACGAGAAAATAACAAAAGCTGACAGGGCCAAATATTTGGCCTTTTGTGAAGAGGGGGAGCCGAAAATGTGAGTGCCGTGGGTTATCCGACCTGCGGTGGGTTATGTAAGAACAGTCGTCTAAAATCCTAATCAACCCTGTGCCCTCACTTGTAGACAGAGGATGGAGACAGGAAGGGTGTTGATTGTGCACAGGAAGTACTTCCATCCACTTCCTTATTGTTCAAAACTCTGCGGATGTGGATGGCAAATCCATTCTCTTCCATGTCATCCAGGAAAGTGTTTATAATGTGTAGAAAAATGCTCACTAAGCACTGATTATTATATATTAAGATTTTTATCTTTTAAGATTATGAATTTACAATATTGCAATCAGCTAACTTTTTCTAATAATATATCATTTTTTTCCCAAAAACTCTATAATCTTAGATACTGTTTTTTGTGTACAAGATATTTTGCTTTAATGCCAAACTTTTTTGGCTTTCGTTTTCAACACACAGTGGACTGGATTGGAACCCAAAATGATCACTCCTTGATACAGGAACAAAAACGGTTTATGAAATCAAACGAAACCAAAAGATTGACATCTTTGCGGCTGATTCATCATGACATCAGTTTAAATTGATGTTAACACTACCTTGTCATTGGCTTATAAATAAGTAATCCTAGTAAATGACAGATTGGAGCCAAAAATGTGTCATCAGGAGTTCTGTCTTGCCTCAAGCAGTGAATAATCAATACCACTCACTGATTACACAATGACTTATGGATGACGAGTAAACACAACACATGATTTGACAGGAAAAGTATTTAGATTTCCACTGATAACTTCTCGGGCCCGAGGTGATGGCTGAGCACGATCTTTAACATTCTTGCCATACTAGTTTGTGCTGGAACAGGTTGGTCCCTGTGCTGAAGGACTCCGTCAGGACGTGCCTCCGCGCTGGGATAGGCAGGCGCTTCAACTACAGCTCCGCCCTGGCCTGAACTATTCCTCAATACATCCACCTCTCAAAGCAGTGAATGGTTCCTCTTTCCATTTACCTTTCATTGATGAAGTGTGAATATAATATATCACAGGTAAGTAAATAGTGTGTCTTCAGTCCAGCAATGGTTATTAGTGATTGCCATTTAGGAATAGGCAGTATAGACAGGATAATATTTGATAGAACACACGCCTATCATTTGAATCAATATCATTATATGGATGAAAGCCTGTTTTTTTCACTGTTCTTTTCCCCCCAAAAAATCCTTTACAATATTGTGACATCACAGCAAAACGCTTGCTACCACTCAAGGCTAGTTAGATTGCAAAATGTTTTTATAATGAATCATTAGGAAATAAGAAAACCTTTTGGGTACACACTTTCATTTTCTAGGTAAGAAAATGTATATCACTGTCATGTCTAAAAGCTCAATGCAAAGCTATAGCCAGCTTAGCATAAAGAGACAGCTAGCCAAGCTCCGTATAAATGTAACAAAATCATCTTATTAACACCTCTTAAGCCCAATAATAAACAGGAGTTTACAGAATTTAAAAAGTGTAGACACAACATGGACAAAAAACATGTTTTTATGAGGCAAGAGCCAATTGCCACTTAGCAAAAAGCACATTCATTCTTACAAATTAACACATCACATTGAGTTAGTTTAATATGCACATAAACCAAAGTGTAAGAACCTCAATAAAACCCCAACTTGTTATTGGGTGTGGTGTTAATATGTTATAAGCTGCTGAAACATGATGTGTGGTATCAATATCTTCAATGAGGGGATTTTAAGTTTGTGATTGAATAAAAAAAATATCCTTATAGCACCAAATCTAAACATATAGATGTGGACATCTTTATCTTGATAACATAGAAGCTCATCATGTTGTGGTGAAGGACTACTCACTGAAAGCTCCTGTGTATGTGGGCTGGGTGAGATCTTTTGGCACTTTCCTGTAGATATCGAATCTGAGAAGAGAAAGGAAGAAAGAAAAGGGAGGGGGGAGTGAGAAAAAAGAAGAGAGAATGTAAACACTACGTGCTGAGAAAAAGGCACATGCTGTACCCATAAGGCAGTAAGATATTATGGAAGAGTGGAAGAATGTTAGCTCTGGACCCGCGCCATCACACACAGGTCCAGCCACAACACACACACACACACACACACACACACACACACACACACACACACACACACACACACACACACACACACACAANACCCCTTCGCTCACAAACCCCACCCACCCACCCATGTCCATCCAGAACTCACATCTGCTCACATTTCTTCCACCGAGTGGTGAAATAACCACAGCTGATGTGGTCCAGGGCGGAGGGGGGCTTCCTGTCTGTCCAGCCCTGACCCCGCTGCTTCTCGTGTTTTGTCTCAGCTTTCACTCCTGTGTTTTCATCTACAGCTAAACAAACACCTCGCTAAACAATCCTAAACACCTCTGACTCTTCCTCTGTCTCTGATCCACATCCATCGATGACTTTCTGACTCCCTGTCCCACTGGTGTGAGGTCACTGTGTGCTAATAGCTGGCAGGATCCAGAGAGAGCTTCAGAGATGGGACTCAGGGAGGGGTCGCTCTGTTAGAGGATCAGAAACACTTCTAGAGTGACATACTTCCTGAATGTCAGGCTTAGAGGGAGGGTCTCTTTCCTCTTCACGTCCCCTCCACCCAGCCTCAGGACTGAGCTCCGGAGGAACCAGACAGGTGGAGCATCGCGATACAGACCCCTGTCGTGTGAAAAACCTGAAAGTCTTGTTGATTTTCATCTTTCTCTCTTCAGTTCAAGGACTATTCACTACATACGTTAGACAGAACCTAGAGCCTGTTTACGAATATACGGCTTTATACACAATATGTTGAGATAATTGATATGATATCAAGCAAGTATACTTTGAATGTTTTATGTGACGGGACTACGGATGGAAATGAGCTCAAAGCTCAAATCCGGCTCATTTACATTTGAAAGCATTATTTTGTTTAAAATGTTCATTAATGTGCATTGTCAGGGGTCAAATAAACGATTAAATGAAAAATTCAAATGATTACCAATTTTTATATCAATTATTATCAAGTTATTCAGACATTTTCATTAATTTAAATCAAATTACATGGATGTCCTCTTATTTTTATAATCTCTTATTGAGTTTTTCTCAAATTAAAAGTGACTAAAATCTAAATAATTATCTGTTAAATCACTATCGATTGCCTAAAAAGGTTAAAAATATCAGTGGTCTCTCCTAAAGCCCACTGATGAAAGCCCTTTGTTTGCAGTATTACAAATGACGTGTCTGTTGAGACATATCCGTAAAAGCACGTAGGCTTTGAATTAAGATTCCAAAACACACTTGCAACTACGGCTTATCACCTTAGACACGCCACGTAGAACGGCGTTAGAGATTGTAAGTTTAAATGGTTTTGACGGTTATTGCTTTCAAATTAATACATCTTGGAAGTATCAATCAGCCATAAAGATATATTTAATTGTACATTTAAAATCATATAATGTTTTGCACACAGCACAAACAGCTGATATACCTTTGAGACATGTTTTTGGCAGTCTATCTCCAAGACGAGATTATTAATAGTTAGAGAGACCCTCAGATCTTGCTGTAGGAGATCACAAACTCTTATTTTTAGGCGACAAAGTTTCCCTCCGCTAATGGTGAATGTGAGCAAGGAAACAAAATCTAGCTCGTCTGGTCACTCGAGACGCGAGACAGAAACTGATGCTACATGGGAACTCTAAATAGTCTCAAATGTACCTTACTGTACATCTGTCCACCAACAGTCTGGATATATCTAGACACAAGGTCTGAATTACACTTTAAATTAAGGGCTGGAAATAAGGACAAAAATAACAAAATGGCATAACCAAACTATCTTTAGTTTGTATTGATATTAGAGTAAGTAACATATCAACTTTACAATATATGGGATACTTTAAATATTTGAATTATAGGACTTATATCTAGATTTAACACTGTGCACTTCAGTCACATTAAATGTAATACAATTATTTTAAAAGTACAGTGAATCATAATTTATATTATTGCAGAAGAAAATATATCTTCATTTATGACATCGATATACTTTAGCTTACCTAAACATATAGAATTTAAAGTATATAATTAAATATCACTGAAACTGAACGACTTGAAATATAGAAAAAAGGTAAGATGAACACAAAATAAAGAATCCAGTAAGGTGTATTTTTTTGTATGCATCATTTAAATGGTCATATTCAGGGTGAATGAGAACTCAGTTTCACTTCCTCTGCCAAGAACACTTTGTTTTCATGAATACTAATTGTGACTGCAGAGAGTTCACCTCTCGACCCCTCTTCGATGTTTGTAATTTCCTGAATTACAGTCAACACACGTCCCTCCGTCACTTCCCACTGCTCAGTCTTCTGTAAGAAGGGCTCAGATGTTTTGTTTTTAGTAAAGACATGTTGTACCAGCATCTTTCTGTTGACACCACACGGCCGCATTTCAATGAAGGGCCCTTGCTAAATAAACCATATCTCACGAATGAGTCATAGCGAGTCAGTGGTTCAGCCTTTTTTATGTTTCGCTGAGTAAACCCACATAGCGGATGTTTATGAATAACGTTCTCTTTCTCACATATGCTCACCTCACATCACAAGCTATAAACAACACATGTACCTCTGACTTTATTTACGTAGGTTCTATTCATTCATCTGACCAAAGCGTACGTCATGTATCAAACAGCAAACAGTCACCCAAGATGAAATGATTTGACATCTATTGACAGTGAGCATCCTCACTGAAGCTCTAAAGTTTCCATGATCTGATTATCCCCAAAACAAAAACACACTAAATGATCAGGTTAGCCGAAAACACATACCTGTGTGTGTGTCAATAAATGAGATAATCTGATACAAACCCTTTAATTATTCACTTATTGGTTCAGCAAAGCGGCTGTTCAGTCTTTCTGAATGACGTTTCCCATATTAGAAGCTGATCTATTGATGATACTACTTTTAAGTAAGTAATCACTGTAATTGCCATTTTAGGTAATGTTTCAAGGAAAAAGACATTCCAAATACATATATAGTAATGACAAGATCTACGGTAATGTATGTTGCTACACTGATGACTAACCCTATTTCTGAGTGGGCGAAACAACTATTTTTTGGTCAATCAAACCATTTCCATTGTTGCAGTGCAGGTTGAGCATGTTCAGGGCATCCAGTCATAAGCATGTGAACGGGACATGACCTGTTCATAACCACACACACACACACACACACACACACACACACACACACACACACACACACACACACACACACACACACTTCATTTCGTTATTACAACACAGCTGTGGTCAGTGGGAAAGGTGCGATTATTTTGACAGGCAGCTCATCTATGTTATGCAAATGATCATCCTTTTCAACAGTAGTTACCAAGGTGACGTGTTCAACTCGTTTGACATTATAACATTTACAGTTATATAAAACAGAAAAATCCTCAGACTGGAGAAGCTATAAGGAAATGTATGTATCTAAAGCCAGTTGAGTAGCACTTGAAATGTTTGGCTCTATGAAACCTGATGTACTTATATGAGTCTGTTTTCTTCAAGGTTGTATCTTCCTGGTCGAATGCACTTATTGTAAGTCGCTTTGGATAAAAGCGTCAGCTAAATGCAATGTAATGTAATGTATGGAATCTGTTGCTTTATAAATTACCAAAATTATAAATTAATTAACAGAAGTTCAGCACTAGTATCTCACCCTGGGAATTCACTATATTGTCCATGTTATGGTCTAAAGCAACTATCACTAATGACAATCCTGTGCCATTTCTTGTTTTTAGTTTAGTGGTAAAACTCATAGTCAATTTATCGATTCAAAGATAAAAAAAGTATTGATTAAGGATTAATTGCTATACTCGTTTTTCAAGCAACAATTCTAATCAAACCCTAAGCAGTCTCTTGTTAATCAAATATGAAGCTTTGCTGCTTTTCTTTATCTTATCATTGTGAATTGAATATCTTTGGGTCACAAAAAACAAGACATTTGAGAAAACCCACTTGCAAAAGTTGTGAAGGGCAGTGTTTTTACTACTTTTTGACATTTGATGTAAAAAAATCTGATTTTATTTATTGATCATGAAAATAATCATTGATTGCAGCACTAAAACTTTAAGTTGCACTCTGATGTAAGGATTGTGTACTGTATATGATTGCAACACTGTGAGTTTGACAGGAGAGCAGTCAGTATCTGGAACAGCCCTGATTATGAAGTGACCACTGAGTGCAAACATCCTGTTCTTCATTTTAATTAGGGTGCGCTCTATTGACAGTTTCAACGGCATAGGTGAGAGTATTAGCTCTGTGCCTTCTGCCCAAGTATCTATAGGTTTAATGGTCCCGTCAGTCAGGTGTATTTCTGACTGTTCATTGTCTGTTTTAATGTGTATTGGTGGCCAATGGACCTTAATGCTTTGTTTTGTGTACTGGGATAATTGTCTAGGTTTGATTTGTGAATAAGACTAAACCAGACCATCACTTTTTGCTTTTGCAGCTATGGCAAAACTGTAGTGGACTGTTCCTTAATGCACTACCGTTATCAGTTTCAAGACTTGCAATAGTTAGGATGGATGAGGAAATCTGCACATGCGCAGGCATAAACCTACACAAAAACTGAACTAAATCTGAGCATGAGTCCACAAACTATAACCCCCGCGACAATGTAGCCCATTCATGCCAAAATGTGAATCAACACTGTTAAGACTTCGCTCATTAGTATGCGATGCTATGCCAACCATTAATTCATCCAGAGCACACACACAGACTGTAAAAAAACCCGCCAACGTCTCTCCACACCTCTCACAAAACAACCGGAAGCTCCGTACTCACCTCCTAACATCGAAAGGCATGATGTTTGCACGTTTGATAGGGGGATTAGCAGACAAAGCTACAAACAACAGGCTCTTCTACCGGTGGTTTATCGGTACCGGGCTGACGTCAGCTTAGAACGCTTTGCAAAATCTGATTGGCTGCGAGCTACTTCCTGTTTGCAATGATTCTCTTTCCTGTGAGAGCACTGTATCGTTTTTATGGCTTTACGGTCGTTGAACAAAGTTTGCTTTTATAAATAATCATGGAAGTAACAAATGATATTGAAATTCAATAATTTTACTTTGCTTTATTTATTTAAAAAATACATTTCACATAATATTTGACCTACTAAATTACTTGAATTGCATAAAATAACTTGTTTTTCTAATAAGAAATAGGTCATTAATATTCTGTGAGTTTCTGAGCAATAGTGTTTTCCTCAACAGTATGAATGCATTTTTTTTTCATGGAATGTGTGCAAAAAATAACAATGTTACACTGAGAGTGAGTGATTTTTAATCATCTAGTTTATTTCTATCTAGTGCCTGTTAACAGTTTAATCATACTAGGGTACATATTGGGTCATGTATAAGTGTGTATTAATGTATTTGTTACTGTTACTCTTCCAGTGAAACATTTGGTTCAACAGTATTTATTTACTGTACATGTGTACCTAAATAAATACACATACACAGTTTAAGCATAGTAACAGATAATTCACGGACATACATTATAATCATTAAATTACGCAAATAATATAATATATTCTATAGTTGAATTACATATATATTTTTCACTTAGTTTGAAGTAAAGAGTTACCAACTAAATTGTCGTTGAAAATTAGATTTGTGTAGGATTCAGGGAACAGATGAAATAACATTACAAGAACAATGTAAAAGAGAAATTATATAGAACATACACATGATGTCAGCTAACATTTCAACCTTTGCTCAGTGAGTCAATGTTTATGTGGCCTTGAACAGCAAGCCATAAACCATATCCTTTTTGAGAACATCTTTGTTTAAATTACTTGGTTGATCTAATGCCCATGTTGGCCCCAAACACATCCACTACACTGTTTGGCAGACATACAACAAGTCTAAGAATGTCAAAAAAAAAGCCTGCTAATAGATCATCAACAGGGTCAACTTGGACCAGTCAAGATATTGTAGTGCTTGTCAAATTGGATAAGATCAGAATGGTTGATTGACAGGCAAATTCATTTTCTGCATAGTATAATTGCAGCAATATTAAAAGGTTCACATTATTGGTTTCCATTTGGACCTGTATCAGATATTGGACTGTGTGTACCATCACAACCCAGAAGCTTGGAGCTATACGTCATGTTCAGTTGTGGTGAAACACAAATTATACTCCGTTAGTTATGTTTTTCCCATGTCTTTTTTTATTGGTCTCCCCACACTCTTGTATTAGCGAAACAAAAGTTTTTTTGGCTCACATAGCGTGTCTGTTGTTGAGACATACGACAGGATAGGCCCTGTGTTTTCCCAGTGATGTCTCAGCTGTTGCCCCTAGTGACAATGACAGTAAGCAGGCAGGGATGACAGCAAGTGACAGCAAAATGGACCACAGGAAATGCCTCTCTGCCGTCCTCTCTTTCACTTCCCTTTCTGGATGAGAACTACAGTTGGTTACAGGCTATAATTATGGGAATTCAAAACAGAGCAACAACTCAGGCTCTATTTTCAGACCTGTGTTTCAATATTCTGTCCCGTACAGTACAGCCAAACCGGGTTTTGATTCTCACTCAAAGAGACAGATTTGCACAGATAAATGTTGTCATACAGAGAACAGGAGTTTTTAGAAAGGCAAGTTTTGGTTTCATTCTTGATCTTTTTGCTGATTATTAAGACCAAACAGCGAAAATATCTCTGTGTTTCTTTGATGAGCCCTTATACTTATATTATACTGTTTGACTTGTGCATTCAAGTTTAACTTTACCTTTCATGTGCATACCGAGTCATTATATATATATATAATATAAGGGTATTAAATAAAGTAGTAGGCACAAAAGTGATACCTAAATAGAATAATAAACAGGCAGAATAAGAAATATCTAAATACAGAAAATAAAAACATAACAATAATATAAAAATGTATTTTTATTTTAAATACATATGTATATATAATCCAATATACTATTATATATGAATAAATAGGTATGCTGTTTGTATAACATTTTGGAAAGCCTCCATATCACAGTAGAAAATGCTGTGTATAATGAAGCGAACATTTTCTACTTCATGGAAATGTACAATTGCTTCGCCAGGCTGCTCCTCCCTTCATCAAGTGTCTGATTTCTTTTCTAAACTTCAGTGAGTAATTCCATCACTTCATGACAGGAGTGAAGACGCATTTGAGGACAAAGTGTTTAGGAACACACTGTTTTCAGAGCCTTATTCGACCCTCCTTCCCCTTAAAGTGTGTAACATTCCTGCTTTGTGGCATGTGCCTCAGAGTTGACTCATCTCACAGGAGTGTGAAGTTAAACCGGCTAGAGAGTTTTTACACTTTGTTGTGATTGGTTAAGTTTCTGCCCTTAGAACTTCCCCACCCTTCCCCCTCTTCCTTTATCACATAACACATCTATTTCCCTATGCCTGAGAGTCACAACAGCATGGATGTGGATTCACTGGGCTGAAAGTCCTCAATTGTTCAGATTACAGTAAAGTATGAATGATGGCATGACCTACATACAGTAGTGAGTGTCAGCCTGAACTTTTGGAGGAATACAACCTAAAGCATCTTTTGCCACAAACAGCATGATATGCTCAGATCTAAAGACTTAATTACAATTAATCCGATGTTTAAGACAATAACATAATCTGAGACACACTTGAGTAGAAATTCACTGTCATTTTAGATGGTGCTTTGAGTAGCCTACTACCTGTTTCTAAGTCTGCTTTGTATACATTTCTTACACAACAAAACAACCTCGGCGTGTTCCTGCTGTGCAGTTTCAACACACCCTCTTGTCAGTGGCGCCTGTTGTCTGTCAATAATGATCAGCCTGCTCCTTACAGCAGTGTTGCACACTGTGAGTCAGCAAACCACACTGACAAATGAAAAGTAGATCCCAGAGTGACTGTAACCATGTTTGCTTTTTAACATATTCTCAGAAGTTCTTGGGGGAAACAAAATGTGTCATTCATCTGCTTCAATAAGATCACAAATGAAACAAAATCTGAGAAGCCAAGAGATCTCCATCTGCTGTTTTCTTCCTGGTAGACCAGTGTTTTGTTTCTCAGCATGTGGAAATTTACTGGACTTCAGATTTCTATACAGTGATTAGCTTTTATGGTTGGCCTTTGCTCTCGGGGCATTGCACACTATGTACCTCTGACTAATAAAAACAAAGAATAAACTTTTATGGCCCCCATCGCAGATATTTACTTATTATCTTGTTATTTGTCAACTCTCAGTCAAGGCAAAATAGAAATCTAATTAAACACTCACATCATGGAAAATTTGGCAAATTCCTTATTTGCTGACATATTATGCAAACAGTTGTAATTTGGAAACATGAGATGAATTATATAAGTATTATAAAAGACACAATAAACACAAGAGTTAGACCTCAGTCTACTCGTGAAAACTTTCCTGACACCGCGCGTGCCCAGGTAGGCCTACGTGGTGTGCGCATGTACAGAAATGTCCCGCATGTGCCCTGCTGCACTCAGAAGGGAGGGGGGGGTGATGACGTCTGCGAGGCTGGCAGGAAGCCAAAGTGGGCGGGATCCTGACGTTAGTGCCTCTCATTCACAAGCACGAGCGGTATATAAACTCTCTTTGAAGCGCCCATAGACAGAAGCAACTGACTGATAAAGTTGAATAAATTAAACTTTTAAAGAAGAAACACAACTACTGGACACACTTAAGAAGAGGAAAGGACAAGCTTTGGTAGTCCTAAAACTTTTTTTTTCTTTTCTCTAAACAAGCAAACCGGAACAAAGGACTCGCCGATTCAAATACTGCTTTGAGGAGAAACGCGTTTTTCACAACAACCTACACTTCCTGCGTAGCGAGCTTTATGTATTTGGATTTAACGTTTCTATCCCGCCGCCCTACTATGGTCATTATGGAGGTCCCCACCATCGACTGTGCGTCCCTGCGTGGTTTGTTGGAGGGCGCCTGCCCGGGCTGCCTGGTGCTGGACTGCCGATCCTTCCTGTCCTTCAACTCGTCCCACATATCGGGCTCCACCAACGTGCGCTTCAGCACCATAGTGCGCAGGAGAGCCAGGGGGGGTCTGGGACTTGAGCACATTGTCCCCAATGGGGACGCCAGGAACCGGCTCCTGTCCGGGGAGTACCAGTGTGTTGTTCTTCTGGACGACCGCAGTTTGGACTTAAGCCAGGCGAAGAAAGACGGCACGTTGATGCTGGCTGTCACGGCCCTACGCCGCGACCCCTGTGGAGCCAGGGTTTTAATTCTCAAAGGTAAGAAGAGTGTATAACTGTTTATAATAGCCTCTTTTAAATTGAAGTTGTCTGAGGTCCTTACCACCAGCTGCTCTTGCAGTAATAAGTAGTGCACCATACTGTCCTAAATGTGCACAATGTAGTGACAGCTTTTTCGTTTTTGTTATCTTAGTTGTGTTTTCTTTATTTTACATGTTTGTGTTATGTGTTATGTGTAACGTTGATGCCTTCTTGGCCATGTCAGCATTGTAAATGAGATTTTATCTCAATGCTTTTGTATCTGGTTAAATAAAAATAAAATCACAATCATTTCACTGTATCCTAACAACGGGGCAACACATGCGGATTACAGCTGTCACCATACCAGCTGGTGTTGGAGTAAACAGCGTTCAAAAATAGCCCCCTGAGCAGTTGTCACCTTTTTGGAGACCCATATTTAAACCTGAATTTGTTTGTGTGCCGTCTGTCATCTAACATAGATTTGTTTTTCTCTGTTTTCCAGGCGGTTTTGAGAAATTTTCTACAGAGTATCCAGAGGCTTGCAACAAACCCTCCCCCCCACAAGGGCTCTGTTTGCCCCTGAGCTCCAGTCATCCTGGGAGTGCAGACCCGAGCTGTAGTCCATGCAATACTCCTCTATATGACCAGGTTAGTATCTTTCTTATACAATCAGATTGAGTTCCCACTGAATTATGTTTGTTTTCCTTTCCTGTTGTACTGTTTTGAAGTTGACTCAATGGTTTTGTTTATTTGTTTTTGTTTAGGGTGGTCCTGTGGAGATCTTGCCTTTCCTGTACCTTGGCAGTGCTTACCATGCTTCAAGAAAAGACATGCTGGACGTATTGGGGATCACCGCTCTGATCAATGTCTCCGCTAACTGCCCCAACCACTTTGTGGACTCCTTCGTCTACAAGAGCATCCCAGTTGAGGACAACCACAAAGCAGATATCAGCTCATGGTTCAACGAGGCTATCGAGTTTATTGGTGAGTACATCCACCATTTTTTTTGTACCCCCTCATTTCTTTAGTACCCCCTTCACACCCCCTGCCAAATGTGAGGGCCTATCCTGAGCCCGTTGAAGGCAGGAAACACACACACCCAACCCCCCTCTCCCTTCACAACACTCCTGGATTTGCATTTTAAAAAGTTCCCTCCAAAACCGACCAGCTGGCTCGGCACAGGCTGTTTGCTCCTCCACAATGGTGGTTACATCATCACAACCTCCCAGGCGTAGATAAAGGGATGCCCCCTTTTATTCAATCGCAAGGCAGCGGCCTCAAACTAGTTTTGTAGTGGGTATGCTGGCTGGGCTTGAATGGCTCCCTCCACGCCGCTCTTTGTTCCGGCTAAACAAAAGGCATTTTCCCCTCACTCACTGTCGGCCTTCCTCCCAGATCAATACCCCCAGCAGGGGTCTGTTCCCCTCTTTTGTCCATTCAGACTGCCTCCTTGGGGAATAACCCCCGCAGGCTCACACTCTGCACCCCTATTAGCTGTGTTCCTGTGTCTTAATGAGCACTGTTGAATTTAAAAGGCAACTGGAAGTGTTGCAAAGACCTTTGTGTTTTTGCCTTCCTGTGACAGCCAGAGTTTTACCTCCATTCTTTGCAAATGAATTTCCTCACCTGAGTGATGTTTACAGTGAACTAATGTTGCTTTCTCTTATCTCTCTCTCCCCTTCAGACTCGGTAAGGAATAAAGGAGGACGTGTGTTCGTGCACTGTCAAGCAGGCATCTCCCGCTCTGCCACCATTTGCCTTGCATATCTCATGCGGACCAACCGTGTGAAGCTGGACGAGGCCTTTGAGTTTGTCAAGCAGCGCCGCAGCATCATCTCTCCAAACTTCAGCTTCATGGGTCAGCTCCTCCAATTTGAGTCGCAGGTCCTGGCCTCGTCCACCTGCTCCTCAGAGGCGGCAAGTCCAGCCATCGGCAACAGCAGCACAGTCTTCAATTTCCCAGTCTCCATCCCTGTACACAAGTCAGCTGGGCAGCTCTCCTTCCTCCACAGTCCCATCACCACCTCTCCCAGTTGCTGAGGAAGCACAGACTTGTTTTGAACTGCATCACGCTAGTGACTCTTGAAACACACAAACAATCATGATTCTAAACCATTTTATGGTGATACTGGTATCACTGAACAGAATGGCGGAATAGTATTTGGGGTCGGTTCCTCTGACTGTGATAGCCTCATCATTTCAAAGGACGATACAACTACCATCAGGCAGTATTCATGTTGTACCTCCTAAATGTGAAAGACATCCAAAGTTTAATCTAGATGACTTTGGAAATGGCTGAAAAGGTGTTTGAGATTATTCCTGAAGAGGAAGTAAGAAGTATCTGAATATTCTTTATTCAAAAGATCGATTTTATTTTTTTATGAAGGAAACTGCTTTTGATAATCAAAATGTAAGCAAACAAAATGGAGAGGGCTACAATTTGTCTCAGGAAATCTCTCAAATGTCCATTTGACTTTCTGTACTGCTTAAAGAAAGTAATGTAACCCAAAGCCCAACATGGCAATGGAAGTTACTCCTTCATTTGACGAACAATGAATGTATCCCCCCCCCCCGTTTTTTATTGTTTTTAAAGGTTTTTTGAAAAGGGGTTGGTAAAATTTTAGAAACTTTCTTTTTAAAGGTTTTTCTTTCTTTTTTTGGACCCCTTCAATGTTAAAACCCGTTCTTTTTTTTTTTATCTCCCCGCTCTTTGTTTTTCCCCAACAACTCCCTAAAGGCTAAAAAAAAAAAACCAAAAGGGAAAAGAAAAAAAAAACCAGGCTTAAACAAAAAGACCGCGGTTTTTTTCGGGTTTGTCCCCCCCAGGCCCAAAAAAAAGAAACCCCCCCCCCCTTTTAAAAAATGGTAATTAAAGTTCAAGGCGTTTCAGGGGTAAAACCAAAAAAAAATCCTTTTAATTTTTTCTCTACCACCCCCTTGGGGAAAAAAGGGGGTTTTCCAACCCTTTTCTTGGTTTTTTTTTTTCTTTGTCTTTTTCTCCCCCGAAGGTTCCAAACCCCCGAAATTTCTTTTTTCCTTTTTAAAACTTTCTGGTTCGGTTAACCTTGGGTGTTTTTTTTTTTTTTTTTTTTTGTTTGTTTTTTTTTTGTCCAAAAAAAAACCACCTTTCTTTTTTTAGAAAAAAAACTTTTTTTTGGGGGGCGCGGCGGTTTTTAATTTTACACCCCCCCCAATTTTCTTTTTAAAGGACCAGAACCTGGAAAAAAAACCCCTTATAAGGTTTGACCCCCCCTTTTTTTTTTAAAACAAAAACCCACCTCCCCCCCCGAATTTTGGGCGGCGGTTGGGAAAAAACCCTTTGTTTAAATAAAAACCCCCCCCCAAAACAAGGAAGGCCTGTTGTGGTGAGGTTCTTTGGTTTGGGCGTTAGGTGTTTCCTAAATTAGGAAGAAGAGGTGGGGGGGTTCTTTTGGTGTGGGTCGTACCCCCGCGAAAATTTTAACCGGGGGGAGTGGAACCAGGTTCGATTTTTTTTGACTCCCCCCCGGGAACAGAAGGAAAGGGTTGTTTTCCCGAAGGGGAAGGTAGGCGGTCTAGGGTATTTTTTCCTTAACGCCATTTGGCCCACCCCCTCGAAAAGGTGGTTTTGGGAAAGGAGTGTGGTTGTCCCCCCTGGTTTTCTTTCGCTTTTGGTTTGTGTGTGAAACGACCCGGGTTTCGAGGGGTGACGAACCCCCCTGTTTTTGTGGGTTCCTTGCGTCCAGGAATTTTCCATGTTTCTTCCCCACCCACCCCAAGACCCATTTTTGCCCCCCGACAGGGCCGTTGCCGTATAAACAGTTGGGGTTTGGGGTTGTTCCGAACAAGCACCCTCCCCCCCCGGACAAACTTTGCCCCAGTTTACCTTAAAACTCGGAAAGTCAGGTGGTCTCCCCAGGTGTTTGACCAAAAACCTACCAAAAGGGGAACGAGTTTTTTTTGTTTTGTTAAAATGGTTTTGTCACTTCCTAATTTTCCTTCAATTTTTTCCCAAAATTCCTTAAATGGTAAAAAAACACAGTTGCTTAAATTGAAGTTCCCCTTTTTTTTTTGGGTACATCTAAAGGTTTTTCCAATTCCTATTCCAAATATCAAATTTTTTTTAAAGAAAGAGACAGAAAGATTTTAGAAAATATAAAATGGTAAATTAATACAATGACACGGTGTGCACTTAAAAAAACCCGGAATGTCCCCCTCGGGGTCCCAACAACAGGGTTTCTTCTGGAAAAAAGTGGGGGTTTCCCCCCCCCGGTGTATTGGTTTAATTTGTTTTTTAGAATTCAATGGCCCCCCTTCTTTTTTTGTCCCAAAAACCCCCCCCGGTGAGGGGGTGATCTGCCCCCCACCTTTCCATTACAATAACCCCCGGATATTCAAATTTCAATTCAATTCCCCCCAAAGGTTCGTTTTTCTAGCGTTAGGGGTTTTACAATCATTAATAACCGAAACATTTGGGAAACTCCTACTAACCGGAAATAACTGTTTTTTTTTGTTTTTCTGTCCCCGATGTTTTTACACAAAGGGGTAGAGAAAATTAATCCCCCCAAAAGTAAATAAAAAAGCCAAATTTCGGTCCGAAGTTAAAAAACAAGGAAATGGTTGTCTTCCCCCGGAGGTTTCTTAAACGAACATTAAATTAATTTTTCTCCTTTTTTTCATAACCCCTTTACCCCATCATATAAAAGTTTCGAACCAAAATAACAAATTTTTAAATCAACATAAATTCCCCGAAAAAAGAATTAGTTTTTTCTTGAATTCTAAAACAATTTCTTTTTAAAATTCAAAAAAGGGTTTTTTTTTTTTTTTGGGGCAAACTTAAACCTGACTTTACGTAAACCCTTTTTTTTTTTCGGTTAACCCGAATTAAATTCGAAGTACCTCTAAAAAAAAGAAAAAATTGACCAAACATTATAATACCCGAAATGTATAATATAAACCTTTTTCTTCTTCATTGTTACCAATTTTCCCCCCCGTTTTTTCCGTGCGTTCCACAATTAAACCAACCCCCGCCCGGTAATTTAAAAAAAAAAAAAAAAAAGGCCAATTAATGCAAAGATCCCCTTTAAAAGAATCCCAGGCTTAAGGCGGGGTTTTTTTAACCCCCCGGCGCCCACCCCCGGGCGTAAAACCGGGGGGCCCCAGGCATCCAACAAACCCCCCCTGTTCAGGGGGACCCGGAATGCCCCAATTTAGTAGGTTTAAGGGGAAGTTTTGCAAGAACCCCCCCTCCCTTGTTCAAAAAGTTTTGAAAAAGAGGGGTGGGGTGCCCGGGTGGGCGGTTTCCCCCAGGGGTTTTTTTTTTTCGGGTTGACCAAAAACCAAAATTTTCCAAAACCCCCCCCGTTTTCCTTGGAAATTTGTCATAAGGATTAAGAAGGGGGAAAGGGGGTGGAACCCCGCACCCCAGAGCACCCCAAGGAGGGGTTTCAAAGGTAACCACCAACCCTCCCCCTGCGGTTTCCCTGGCGGGTGGTTCGTTCCCCGGCCATGAAAACCTTACTTTTAAGCGGACTCCTTACCGAGAAAGTCAACAGTGGTGAAAAAAAGGGCTTTTTCTATTGGCGCCGGAAAACGTTCGAACTAATGGATTAAACAAACCCGGAATTCTTCCCTTTTTCCACCCGGGAGCGGGCAGTCCCCCGGAAAGGTAAGAAATTTCCCGGAACGGGCGACGGGGAACGACCCCGGACCCGAAGAGTCTACCCAAAGTCATCTTTCTCTCCCTTCACACACGCCCGGGGTTTCCCCTGTTTTTAACCCCCGGGTTTTCTGGGTTGGGAGTTAACCTTTGGTAAGCTAAACGAAAAAAATACCCCCACGCCGGGTCTTTAAAATTTTCAAATATTGTTTTTTATATGCTAAAACCCGGTACCCCTTTTATTTTTGTTCCGAACCCCCTTTTCCTTACCACCGTCTTGGTGTCTAATCAGGGTGTGTACGGTTTAAATTTCCTAGGTTTAAGAAAAAAACCGTTTTTTGTTACCCACAAGGGGGGGGGCGGAGCAACCAACACGAGCAAGAAACCTTCACAAAATGTAAAAAATTAAATGGTATTTTCTTTAATCATTTAAATTCCATAAAACCTTTTTTTTTTTACGTTTTGGGTTTCCAGGGGTCTAGTTGCTTTGTCTTTTTTCTTACCCAAAGAAAACAAAAAAAAATGTTTAATTTTAACCCTTTTTCCACAAGATTTTTTTTTTTTGTTGAAAAGGTTTAAATGAATACAACTTAACCAAAGAACCAACATTAAAAACTTCATCTCTAGGTGGTTATTTTGTTATAATAAATGTTTTAAATTTTTTATCAGAAAACCAAAACCCTGACCCCTTTTTTTTTTTATTTTCCCCGTTATAAACCCTTTTGTCCCAGTTCAAATCGAAAATCCCCTTTACAACTTTAACAGAAAATAAGAAACATAATTTAAAGATTGTGGAGACCACAACTTTTTTTTCCCCAAATACAAAAGGGACCTTTTTGATAAGCGAGAATAAAACCGCGGCCGAAATATTTTTAAACCTTGGTGGGCATAAAATAATATTAAAATGCCCCCCTATCTCAAAAATTTTTTTTTTAAAGATTTCCCACCAAACCCTTTCCTGTCTACCTAAGAAAATTTTACCCTAAAAAATGAACAACATGAAAAAAGGTTGAATTTTAAATTGCGGGGTTAAAAAATCCAATCCAGATGAATTTTGGACCCCCCTGGTAAAACACGCTCACTCACACACCACAATCATCAATAAATTTGTCAATGTACAATATTACGTGGATTTCGAACGGTAAAGGTGTAATAATGGACCCGGGTTTTGCGGGGTACAACTTTTTCGGTTTTTCCCCACGAAACCCAAATAACCTTTTTTTTTTTTTCCCCCCTGGGTTAAAGGGTCAACCAACCCCTTTTAAAGTTTTTTTTCAGTACCTCTTTTTTTTTTCCCGGAAAAACGTTCAACCAACACAAGATCCCTTTACCTAAACCGTTTTTTTTTTCAGGTAACAATCTAATAAAGTACGAGTACCCTTTTTTTTTTAAATAAAAAGTTTTTGCGTAAATTTTTCCTATAATTTTTTTCTTCCTTTTTTTTTAACAAAACAAAGGGGTGAAAAACAAAAAATTCTTTTTTTTCCCCCCAGTAATACAAACTTTTCTAAAAAATAATTTGTCATTATTGTTTCTTTTTGTTTTGTAAATTTTTTGTTTTTTTTCTGGTCTACGTTTTTTTTTAATTTCCCTATGCTAAAATTTTTCTTTTATTAGATTAAAATGAAATCAAAATTTATTTTTATACAAAGTCCCTTAACCGTCCCGGAAGAACCTCCCTGATGCCACCAGGGGTAAGCCATTCATTTTCCGAAAAAAAATCCCAAACGCGTCAGAGGGAAAGGGGTCCCCGGGGCGACCCACGTCCCATTTGTGCTAAAAAAAAAATGTCCCCCCTTTTAAACCTTTTCCCCAAAGTAAAAATTCTTAACCCCCCAAAAAAGGTGGTAAAATGGGGGAAATTTTTTACCCCAAAAATAAAAAAACAGTCCCCCAGCAGTTTTCTCAAAAAAAGTAAAACACCCCTTTTCCCCAGGAAAACCCTTTGTTCCCGTTCCCAAAATAAAAACGGTTAAAAAACCTTAAACCGTTTTTTATTTTTTTGGGTAACAAGGAAAGTTTTTGAAAACCCAAGTACTTTACTTAAAAGGGTTACCTTTCC